TTCTAGGACAGAATATTAACAGTCACACATCTTTCAGAGTTTAATAAAACAATGATAAATTACAAAATGTTGTCATTTTGCAATCAAAGCTAAGAAAAATCTCTATATAGAACATACAACTATGCATATGCAAGATATTTTATTTCTTTCTGCAGGTCTATTTTGTTATAGGAAAGTATTGCAATATTCAAACCCGCAATTTAGCAAGATATGAAAATCAGAGCTGGAGGTTTAGTTCTGATTTACATATTTTGTCTTTACAGAATTACACTATTAAAAATATAAACAAGGGCACAATGCAACCTTTTAGTGTACTGTAATCTATAAAAAAAGAGCTGCCTGTTTGCTATACTTGCAGTGGAGATGAAGATGGTCCATTCAGGAAAGCAGAGCTGCATCAAACTTTAATGTGGAACTGCAGAAAGAAGAAAAAAAAGTTTGAATTGTTAATGCATGTCACCATGAGAAAAGCCTACTGAGTTTTGCTTAAAAAGCTTTTTTTTATTAAAATCACACATTTTTGTCTCATGAAGTGAAAAAATTATTTGCAAAACAAACTTATTTGCGCATGTCAGAAATATTTTCTTGCTATTCTAAGTTTTTGTTTGTGACTCAAAGTTTTGCTTGTGATTCTCACATGACGTCATGGGCAGGGCCCAAAATCACAATAAAAGATTTCTGATGTGTGCAAATAAAAGTTTATGTTTGGCAAATAACTTTTTAAGTTCACAAGACAAAAATGAGTTATTTAATTTTTAAAAAAGTTTTTTTTTAAACAAAACGTTTTGTTTTTAAATAAAAAAATCATTACAATTCCAAAAGTTTTATTAACAATTTTATTTTACTTAACTGAGGTCTTTTTTTTTCATTGAATAATTGTGGGGGGAAAATAACTTCATACTCTGCAAACCAGACCTTAAACTTAAAGTCTGGATTGAGTTTTATCCCCTTCATTAATGACACACTTTTATTATCTTGGTAATTTTTATCTATCTTGGTAATTTAGAATTATTTTTAATTCTAAATGAATAACCTTGTTGGATATTCATTTAGAAGTGCTAAAAGTGCTATTTTCCTTCAAGACACATTTACCTAACGCCAGAATAAATGCAATGTACATTATGCACCAAAGGAAATTAGAAGATCGGACATATATCCATTATGGAGATGATCAGTTTTGGATGGCGATGTGCCCCTATTGCATAAGCAATACTGAAGAATGACTGCTATCATTAACGGTACAGAGAAGAAGCTTTTTTGTTATCTAGCTTTGCTAGCAAAGTCATTAGCTGGCAGCTAGCTAATAGCACAACAACAACAGCCTAATGTCTGTATGATAAAAATACCAAATCGATAGATAAGAACAGTTTTTCCTCACCTGGCTGTCTCCTCCCGCTCAGTAGTTCTTTAGAGAAAGGCAGACGCAGAGGCCTGTCAGTCTCTGCTTAAACCTCTCTGCTTAAACCGTGCTGAAGCAGAAACGATACGTTCAACGTTTTCAGTCATCTGACAAGTAGCAAGTCTACTCCACTTTATATCCCAACTTCAGAAGATGTGCTTTTAACTTAATAGAGCTCCTATCAGTATGAGAGTCAGGGTGAAGAGGCGTTAGGAAGACGAACTGGAAGCTGCAGGATCTTCAGAACAAACAGGTCATGATGCTAGGCTACTGTTTATCCCTCTGTCTGGACACAGGATCAATATAACCAGTTTAAAAGCTAAAATGAATGGCTACATGGAAAACTGAGATGCACTCCATGCCATGATGTTCAGAATTTAGGTCTCATAGCATCTCAAAGTGTCAACATTGCAGCCAGTGGGCTGAGGGAAATATGGCTTTATTTTGTAGCAGTTCAAGAGCTACCCAGCTTTTGTCGCTTCATAAAAAAAATTATCAGCACAGAAACTCCAAAAAACACAAAGAAGCAATGTATGTGTACACACACACACACACACACACACACACACACACACACACACACACACACACACACACACACATATATTTATATATATTATATATATATATATATATATATATATATATATATATAAAAAAATATATATATAATATATATTTTTTGTCATAGTACCTCCAAGAATTTAAAACTACTTTCACCCCTGTAGATAACAAGTACACATTACCTAAATTATAGCTAATATCTAAGATTATTTAATTCAGATTATTATGAAGGCTGCCAGAGACTTGGTTGACAGTGATTTATCGTATGAATTAAGTCTTCATTTAGTAAAAACATTTCAAACAAAATAACATTCTGGAAGCTATTTTACATGTATTTAGAAATAATGAATAAACCTGGGAAAAACTGTCCTCACTATCGTAGCCTGATTTTATTATGTGATTTTTAAAGGCTCTAAGATGACATACCTACATCTACTGTCAGCTGCTCTGCTCTTGGCTCCCACACACCTAGCTGTCAGCCACTCACAACGCTTAGTCCCTCCCATTTCAGACTCTTCTCATTAAAGCTGCAGTATGAAACATTTTTAGAAATAATATTTATTTCACATTTTTGTTAAATCTGTCACCATGTCATGACATTATTTTATATTATGTGAAAAAATTGATCTCCTCCACCTCCCAACCAAAAACAAACAATTAGAGCTATGACGTTGTCAGTCAACCTCATGTACTTGCTGTTAAATGTTTTAATATCAGAGAAACAGCTTGCTGTTACAGGAAAACCAATTTGCTGTCATGATTGGTGGCTATGCTAACTAGAGCTGGGGGATATGAGGAAAATCTAATATCATGATATATTTTTGCTATATCACCATATACGATATATATCACGGTATTCTTAACTGAGCTCCAATGTTATTTTAAACTATAGACCCCATGATGAAGTCACCCACACAAGTTTCTGCCCCCATTTCCCTGCTAGACTTAAATGTAAGCTCATATAAAAAGTATTTTGCTATGAACTGTCCACACTATGATAACAAGGTGATAAATAAGTTTTAACTAAGAAAAAAATAGCAAGGGAGATGGAAGTAGGTCAGTTATGCTTGACTTTGACGAACTGTGCTGTGGAATAAGGTGTGTTTTGGTTCAGCTTGAAAATAAAAAAGGTGACCTACACACAAACTGACAGATCATCAGTAAAGCAAGTATTTAAATTAGCTTATCAACCACCGCTGTGTTAGCATGGCTAATAGCAGTGACTCAGCAGTTGCGATATAGCCACTTTAACTATCGTAAATTGAAATTATCGTGGTACATTGAGTATACTCAGTATATCACCCAGCCCTAATGCTAACTAGTCTGTGACAACAGGCTACGCTGTCAGTCACATTATTGTGATTGCCAACTATACGACCTGCCTCCTACATCTGATTGGTTGTATCTAGCTAGCATTGGGAGAAGGCAGAGGAGCTAATTTTTTTTTCAAGATTATCGGTCTCATACCATACTGTCATGACATGGTGACAGTTTCAACAGATATGTAAAAAAATATGCTTTATAGAAGTTCCACACTGCAGCTCAGCTTATACAGTCAACTGTTTTTGGTCTTGTTTAGATTATTGATTATTACATTTTTACTCACTAGCCTTTCTTATTTCTTGGTATGTTTTTGGCTATTGGTTATCAGCCATTAGAATGGTGTAGGAGAATGATTTTTTTTCACATAGCATATCTGTCATGATATGGTGACAGATTTAACTTTTTAAATAAAGTTATCCTGCATTCCTATTTGTTACATAATAACAGTTTGTAAAAACAGGTTCTTTGGTACCCAATACCTGTAGAAGGCATTACAACATAATACAAATTAAGCTAATTTTCTCTATGTATGTTCAGGCATGGTTTACAATGTGACACCTTACATGGACTACCATCCTGGTGGAGAAGAGGAGCTGATGAAGGCAGCAGGAATAGACGGGACTGACCTTTTTGACCAGGTAGCTGTGCTTAAAACAAAAGTAAAGCTCAGATGGTCTCTGTTTTTCAGTATTGTTAAAGTCGTTTCATATTCCATTTCTCTGTTAAGATTGAGTTCATTATATTTAAGCTCTATGTCAGGAATGACCCTGATGACAACCTGATGTGGTTTTTAGTACTTCATGTGCTGCTGGAAGGTTTTACCTCACCATATCTGTTCTCTTTCCATGCTCATTGGAAGAGGGTAAAGTTGTGCCAGAGACCTTTAAATAGCTATAGAACTACCCCTTTCCGGATCTAGACATGTACTTTGTAACGCATGAATTAAGATGCCTCTCAGCTTATTAATGTTCTAATACCAGAAATACCAGAACTAGCTTCCACTTCAGGTAAATACTTCTACCCTGGTCCTTAACATAGCATGTGGACTCCTTGATTATTGATGTCATGCTACCATTAGGTATATTCAGTTTATCATTGTTGTTCCCCAAATTGTAAGTATCCAAGAACACTTGACTATCAGGGGATTTACAAAATCATACCTGTCCAAATTTATTTACACGTCACTAAATCTCCACAAAAGCCACATTTTGGTAAATGTGCATGCAAACCTACTTTTTGTCTGATGTTTGAGCATGCAAACATCAGACAAAAAGTCTGATGTATCAGAACATTTTTTTGCACATGTGCTATTAGTGCTATTAGTTATGCATGTGCTAATATGTTATTAGTGTAAATACAACCATCAAAAGCACTTGTTTGTACCATTCTGATCAATGGAACATAGCAATAGGAGGCTCAGATGATTAGGATTTCCTTTGTATGAAAGGTATGAATTGTTTGTGAACAGGTACTGTGTGTTTGCGTGGATATACTGCCCATTCAAAGTCAGTCAGTATCACTGTGTTTCTTTGCACAAAATTAGATGTATGTGTCTATTTAATAATTAGTGCTAGTTTTATGTATTCATTGTTACTGACTTTGAAGTATTGCTTTTATCCTTGTTGTATTGCAGCATTGTCCCATCTTCTAAGACAATGGTGTTATCTTATAGCATACTAATGTGTTAACCTTGACCTTATGAGCTTTCTCACCTGGGTGGTGTTGCTGTGTCTTGCAGGTCCATCGATGGGTCAATTATGAGTCCATGTTAAAAGAGTGCCTGGTTGGACGAATGACTACTAAGTCCGCAACAGCTAGTAAAGGTGAAAGCTGATTATGCTCTCTGTTTTTGATATGGTGCTTCAGCCTTGAACTAAAATGGAATTTAGTCTTGTAATCTCAAAGAAAATGACACAGGAAACTGATTCTACTATGACATTAGTCCTTCTAAATCCTCCCTGTAAACATATTCATAGCTGTAAACTTTTTGGAAAGCAGTTGAAGTCATTTTTGTTTTTAAAGTAGTGAGAAAAATGTTGTGTTAGAAAATTCAAGAAGGTTCTCTGAGTCCTATACTTGTATTTGTAAGTATAGGACTAAAAACTAAACCTTCTAAAATTAATAATGTTTAATAACAATAATGTATTTACATGTTAAATCTTTTCCAGACACCCAAGTACACTTGACAAGAAAACAAAACAAGAATACACTAAAAATGAAAACAGATGTAGAAGAAAAAAAATTACAAACAAGAAATTACCAAAAAAGGCCACCTTGAACACATACATTTTGAGTTGTGATGTTAAAGTAGGAAGAAAGTCAATATTTCCAGAGTTGGGGAGCAGATTGAGAAAAAACTCTGATCCCCAAACTGCTGAGCTGTTTTAATCTAAATGTGACTTTACATTAGTTTCAGATACAAGTTCATTCTGTTTACATGTTATGGAACGTGATCTGATGAATTACTCCTGCCCTTTTTTTTTTACCACCATGTATGTCACTGTGACATTTACTCTGTCTGTATCAATTCAATATTCTCAAAAAACAAAGCAGTAATCACATTCTGCCCTCATCATAAAATAACTTGTTACTATTTCTTATTATGGATTTTTAAGGTAAAATAACCAAAATGTGGTGTTTTCATGAAATGTGTTTTAACTTTTAATCAGATCCAATTTTTTTTATTTTTATGTGAATAATGCATAAAATTATATCTGTTATAGATGTTTTTATACTTTGATGTTTGTTGAACCCAACAACAGCTGCATGTAATAATAATAATAATGCTAAAACATTTTGCGGTAGAATCACTTAAAAAGTACTGATTGTAATCTTTTGTTGACATCTCTTCCTCAGCCATCATCCTGCCTTCATCACCAACAGGTCTTGCTCCACCTGCTGCAGGGCCTCCTCCACCAAACAAAGACTCTCAGCCTCGGTATGAAACTGAGTATATTTGCAAGGAGATGTAGTTAAAGACTGATGACTTTAACTGCATGTGGTGTTTGCTGTTAAAGGTACGACTGGTTTCAAACTGATGCAACTGTTCATCTGGCTGTTTATACCAAAAGAAAGGTAACGAAGGTTTAACTAAAATTAATCACTTGTTTAAAAGATGCAGAGAAATTCCAAACATTGCCTGAATTCTTATGTTTCTGTAGTGAAGCTGTTGAAACCTTGTTGGGTATTAAAATCCAGTTGCCAGACTAAGGCTGCCAGAAGATTCTGCAGTGAGCCTGCAGAATCGGGTCAGTGCAGCCTGAAGTGACCCGATTCCGACTTTTTTGATGTAATGCGACCTGCATCTGAACTTTTCATGAAGGTCTGAACAACACAGGTCGGATTCTTTTTGAATGTGACTTGGTTATCCGATATGTATCAGATTCAAATGTGACCTTAACGCCTAGGTCGCATTCATCCGACCTGAACGTCCTGATACGTGCAAGTGAGAAGAAAAACTACAACTATGGTGGATTGTAATGAGGATTAAATTGTTAATATGCTGACAACAACTTCAAATGTGTAAGCTATGCTCCACCGTTAGCATCCATGTTTACTTCGGCAAACACTGAGCACTTATTCGTTTTATGGCGAACACTGAGAACGCTTTTTGCGCCCCCTACTGCGCATGCGGGACACTTTCTGGTTGTTTGCCCGTTCAAACTGCAGAACACATACAGGTCGCATATCACTGCTGGTAACGGCCATAGGAAAAAAAAATCCGATTTGACAAAAAATTGGAATTGGGTCACTTCATGCTGCAGTGTGAATGCTGCCTAATATGCTGTGTATGTCATGTTGTTTCTCTCAGATCTCCAGCTCAGGATGTGTGACCGTTGACCTCAAAGCGGGAATTCTTCGATTGGAAGTTCTCTTTGGGAAACTGTCCTACATGATACATTTAGGTGAGCAGATTCACAGTTACTTCTTGTTTTCTCTTTTCCCTTTACAGAATTAAAATACATTTACTTCCAATTGCATTAACATAATTTTGTGTAGTTTTAAATATGCTCTAGGAGCTTGTCATTGATCTGGTGTAATTGAGCTGATACTGCCAACTAAAGGAATTGAATCAGTTTTCTTCTTTGCTAGTTTCCACTTTGTAGATTTTAGTTAGGTCCAGAAAAAAACTACTTCATTCAAGCAATGTGTATTCCAGAAATAGTCATGAATACTCAGTCATGAAACGTTTGTTTTGTAGATGAAATGGTGCAGATTAGAGCTCGCTCGGCCTTAAAAAGCTGCGGTTTTTAAGGCCGAAGCTGATACCCATTATTTTGACATCAGTCTAATCAATCACCAGTATGTGCTGCCGATACTTTTGGGCTGATTCTTAAAACTGATTTTTTTGTTTTTGTTTTTCTATTTACATAATAAAAAATTACATTATAACAACAAACTTTAAAAAAGGAACATTTATTACCTCCTACAAAGAGTCAGACAGAAATAAACAGATCTGAGAAAAAAATAAGAAATCAAAATATAAGACTAGAGGTGAGAAAAAGGAAAGAAGTACTAGAGAAAATAAATCCATGTATGGTTTAAAAAAGTGCTAGAAAAAAATACAGAATATGAAAAAAATGAAATGTCACAATAAATAAAAATATTGCCTTAAATAAATCATGAATATTAAAAAAAGAAATGCATAATTGAAAAAGAAAACTAATAAAGCTTTAAAATTGGTGGAAACAAAGGAAAATGAAATAATCATAATATTACATTAATACTGTTGATAGTCATAAGCAAGTTACTTTATCATATTGTATGTTTCCAAATAAGCATTTTCAGAAAAGGACTCAACCATCCAGCTGATTAAGCTGTACAGTCACCAGCAGCCTCAGCTCTATCAACAAGCTTTGAAAAAGTAGAAATATGAAACATGTTTAAATACGAACATACACCTTGGATGTAAATATCTCTCTGAAAGGAAAATGCATGAATAACTTTTCCCATGATGGCACAAATGGCAGGAACATATACATAGTGGTCTGCACAAAGCAAATCTTTCAGAGGACCTAACATCCGCATATTTCCAAGTGTCGACTCACTTAAGCACAATGTCATACTGAACTCGTCTTCATCACCGCTGGTAAAATTCTTAACCAGCTGCGCATATTGCTAAATCCAAATGACAAAAACATTCAGAATAGAAACTATTTGTAATGGAAACACAGCTTGTCTGTCTGTCTAGCAGGTTGTGAGGGATGGATGGCTATAGATCGATCCATCCATCCGTCACAGCCTTTTAACCAGGTTACGTGGGGGCCAAGCTTTCTGCTGATATTTTACATATGAAATAAAAAAGGTAATTTCTTATATGTATTAGTAAAGAGTTTTATTTGTTAAATGAGTTTCACCTCTGTTAGACTGCGCCAGGGCAGATGTGGCTACAATATAGTAGCTTCCCATCATCAGTGTGTGAATGTGAATGGATGTAGTGTGTTTGGGGGTCTAGACCAGATAAAACACTGTTCAAATAAAACAATTTAACCTTTTATTTCCTTTCAGATCTTGCTCATGAAGTTGAGGAAAACGTTTCTGGTAAGAAAAGAGTATTTCATTAAACGGTGCTGCTGATTTTCCAAATCAGTTGGATTTTTATTTTTTACACTTTTGGTTGAAGACAAAAATCAAATATTTGAAAAATTCATCAGTTCCAGGTAAAACTGTTTTTAGTTTCAAAACTGGTCTCTTTTAACCGCGTTGCTTTGGATTATTCTTCCAAGTTAAGTCAGTGTTAGGCCGTTGTCGAGCTCTACATAGCTGAGCTTTATGAAACAGGAAGTGAATAAGCTTGTTTTCTGTGTGTTTTCCATCTCACTTTGGGGATGTGTCTGAATGGCATGTTTCTAATTGTAAACTTTGGTTATCACCAACAGTTCATACTGCTTTCTCTGTGGGAAAGATCCAGGTCACCATAAACAAACAAACTAGAGGAAAATGGACAAGTCTTGGGCAACCGCTGGAATTTCATAACACATTTCTATGCAAAAAAAACAGAGGTGAGAATCTTAATGAGCTCTGTGACATGTCACTTTTTATGGCCCACTGAACAGTGAATCCAGAGATGATGTTCCATAGGAACCGGGGTGGACGGGGGAGACATGTTCCTCCAATATTGGAGAGAGTCACATTCATCCCCCCCAATAATTTCACCCCAGTTGCAAAGAATTTTAAAATCTTCCACTCGCGTGCTTTTATTTTGTTTCCCTTTTTTTAAAAAAAAAATTTTTTTTAAAGGTTTTATTGGCTCTAGTGGCCTTTAAGTTAATTGACAGGAAAGTTAGTAATGAGAGATGGGGAAAGATATGCAGCAAAGGTCGCCAGGCCGGGAATCGAACCTGCGACGGCTGCGTCGAGGACTAAGACCTCCTTTGCTGGTTGTGCTGAACCCCTGCGCCACCACAGCACACCCATCGTGCTTTTATTTTGAAGGCGCACCACAGCAGAACGCCTTCTCCCACCTCCCCCCTCCCCTCTCTGAACCATAGACATAATATAAAGAATAGACACCTTATCGACCGCTCTCGCCTATTGTTGCT